CGGCAGGGTCGGTGTGGGGACACGGGGGGACACGGCAGGGTCAGTGTGGGGACACAGGGGAACACGGGGGGACACGGCAGGGTCGGTGTGGGGACACGGGGGGACACGGCAGGGTCGGTGTGGGGACACGGGGGGACACGGCAGGGCTGAGGGGGAGCCGTGTGGCACAGCGGGACACGGCCGCCACTGGGAGCAGCCTGAAGGGGTTGAGGGTGTCACCACGGGGTCCCCAAACACGCACGAGGTTCACGGGGGGATGGGGGGAGGGCGGGGGTGGGGACAGGGACATGGACATGGACATGGACATGGACATGGACATGGACATGGACATGGCAGGGCTGGAGATGGCAACAGGGACATGGCCAGGGGGGACAGGGACATGGCTGGGGTGGGGACAGGAACATGGACATGGCTGGGGTGGGGACAGGGACATGGACATGGCAGGGCTGGAGATGGCAACAGGGACATGGCCAGGGGGGACAGGAACATGGACATGGCTGGGGTGGGGACAGGGACATGGTGGGGACAGGGACAGGGACAGGGACATGGCAGGGCTGGGGACAAGGACAGGGACACCCCTACTCACACGCTCGCCAGCGGGGCCGGGCAGGCCGGCGGGGCCGGGCTCACCACGGGCTCCTCTCTTGCCTTCCTCTCCAGCGGGGCCGGGGGGACCTTGGACACCAGCGGGACCCTGGGGAAGGACGCGCGGGGATGAGGAGCCCCGGCCGGGCCCGGAGCCCGCGGGGGCCGCGCCCCCAGGGACACGTCGGGGGGGCACTCACGGGTTCGCCTTTGGCACCGGTGTCGCCCTTGTTGCCCGGAGCGCCGGGCTCACCCTGGAGGGGAGAGCGGAGAGAAAAGGTTCAGCGGCGGCTTGAGGAGCGGAGGGAGCCCTCGGAGGGACCGAGGAGCCGCCCCCCGCCCCACCGAACCCGGCGGGGACACCTCGGGAGGCGCCTCCAGGCGCGGCGGCTGCGGCCGGAGCGGCCCGGGGGTACTCACGGTGTTGCCCTTGGGGCCGGGGGCGCCGCTGGGACCCTGGGGTCCGGAGGGACCGCGGGCACCGGGGAAGCCGGGAGCGCCGGCGATGCCGGGAGCGCCCTGCAAGAGGCACGGGAGGCCGTGAGCAGGCGGCGCGGCCCTCCCTGCCGCGGCCGGGGGGGACGCGGGGGACACTCACGGTGGCGCCCTTGGCACCGGGCTGGCCGTCGGCACCGGGGTTGCCCTGCGGAGAGAAGGAGGGAGAGGAGGGTCACGGCGGGGCCGGCAGGACGCGAGGCCGAAGGACAGGGAGCCCTGGGACGTCGCTTACAGCAGGACCGGCAGCGCCAGCGGGGCCGGGGGGGCCGGGCTCGCCGCGAGCACCTTGGGGACCTTCGCTGCCACGAGCACCCTGGGGACCGGTCTCACCCTGGGGAGGAAGAGGAGGAGGAGGAGGAGCCGTGAGCGCCAGGGCTGCCCTGGTTCCACCTGCCCGCGGTGCCACAGCCGGGACGGGCGCCCGGGACACGCTGGGACGTCCCCACGGGTGCCACTGTCCCAGGCAGTGCCAGCCGGGGTGATCCAGCCTCGGGGACCCTTCCGTGCCCAGCACCCCCCCAGCCCACCCTCCCAGTGCCCCCCAGTGCCCCCCAGCCCCGCAGAGCCAGGCAGGCCCTACCTTAGCACCAGCAGCACCGGGGAAGCCGGGGGGACCAGCGGGACCGGTCGGACCCTAAACGGGACAGGGGGCACGGCTCAGGGGGGATCCCGGCCCCAGCGGGCTCGGGGGGATCCCCGGGCAGCAGAGCCCCCCTGGCTCCCGGCCGGGGCTCCCCACGGGGCAGCCGGGACGGGATCTCCCCCCAGGAGGGCCGGGGGTACTCACGGGGGGACCGGCAGCGCCGGGAGCACCGTCATTGCCACGAGCGCCCTGCGGAGAGGGGACAGCGGCGGTGAGGCCCGCGGGTGGCACAGGCGGCACCCACGCGTGGCACGGGTGGCCCCGGGCAGGGGTCTCAGCCGTGCCCATCCCAAATACTCACGGCGGGGCCAGAAGGGCCGGGACGGCCTCGCTCGCCGGGAAGACCACGAGGACCCTGCGGAGGGGACGGGACGGGTTTAGGACGCGGTTGGGTCACCTGGGTGGGCATCGCCCCTTCCCGAGCCCCCTCCCATCCCTGTGCCCGCAGTGCTGCCCACGGCGACGCTCCCGGCGGGTCCCTGAGGAGCAGCGGGGTCCCCACCGGGGCACCCCCGTCCTGTCCCCCCAGCCAGCCCTGGCCCAGCACTCACCATCTGCCCGGGAGCTCCGTTCTCCCCGGGGCTGCCGGGCTCTCCCTGAGGAGGAAGGACACCGTGAGGGACCTGCTCTGCAGGGAGGAGGGGACAGCGGGGACACTGGGGACAGCGGCGGCGCTGCCACCGCTCCTCACCTTGGGGCCGGCAGGTCCGGGCTCACCCTTGGCACCATCCAGACCGCTGAAACCCTGGGGGCAGGAGAGAGAAATGCTGGGGGGTCAGGGGGGGACCCGAGGGAGGGCAGGGGTCCCTCGTCCCCTGGGTGTCACCAGCACGGGAGGGGGACTCACCCTGTGTCCCTTCATGCCCGGCAGGCCGGCGGTTCCGGGGAGACCTCGGGCGCCCTGGGGGAAACGGGGGGCGGTGACGGGGGTGCCGGGGGGGCTGTCCCCACAGCAGAGTGGCCTGTCCCCGAGGGGGGGACAGCTGGGGGTGTCCCCGAGGGGGGCACAGCTGGGGGTGTCCCCGAGGGGGGGACAGCTGGGGGTGTCCCCGAGGGGGGCACAGCTGGCGGTGTCCCCTCGCCTGTCTCACCTGGGGGCCGGGGGGACCCCGCTCTCCGGGGCGGCCAGGCTTGCCAGCTTCACCCTGAGGACAAGGACACGGCCTTGGGGGCACGTCCCCGAGCCAGGCGGCTCCTGCTGGCCTGGGGGGGCTGGCAGGGCCACCGGGCCCCAAACGGGGGGGACCCCACGGGTGGGTCACTTACATCATCTCCGTTCTTGCCAGGGGGGCCGGCGGGACCTCGGGGGCCCATGGGACCCTAGGAGAGAGGGAGGGCATGGGGGAGGGTGCTGAGGTGCCAGCTGCCCCCTGTCACCCTGTCACCCTGTCACCCTGTCACCCTGTCACCCTGTCACCCTGTCACCCAGCCCGGGCAGTGCCAGGCCCTGGCAGCCCCAGTGCCGTGGGTCCCAGAGCGGGGCTGGAGCAGCAGCAGCAGCGTCCCCAGCCCCAGGGGACATGGGCAGGTGACAGCACTCACAGAAGCACCGGGCTCTCCAGGTTCACCGGGGGGACCTTGGAAACCTTGAGGGCCCTGTGGAGATAAAATAAAGGATAAAAAATGGGTCAGAACGTGAGAAGCTTGGGCCTGGATCCCCCCTGGTGGTGGCGGTGTCCCCCCATATGGTGGCACCAGGACTTTGTCCCCACGTGCCTCTGCGGCTGTCAGGGAGGGTGTGACACCCTCCGACCTGTCCCCCACCCCCAGAGAGGCTGTTTGTCCCCAAACCCAAATGGACAGGAAGAGGTGACACTCACGGGAGCACCGGGAGGGCCGGGGAGACCACGGGGACCAGCTGGGCCCTGGGGAGAAGAGAAAGTGTCATCAGTGGGGCCTTGTCACCCTGTCCCTGTCCCCTCCCCTGCTGCCCTCCCCTCCAGCCCATCACTGTCCCAAAGGCAGCCCCTTCCTGTCCCCATCGTCCCCTGCTCCCTGTCCCCATCCCACCCCATCCCTTGTCCCCAACACCAACCATTGCCTGTCCCCATTGCCACCCCATCCCTGCCCCTATTGCCATCCCACACCACTGCCCCATTTTGTTGTCCCCATTGCCTGTCCCCATTGTCCCCATTGCCTGTCCCCATCACCCCATTTTGTTGTCCCCATTGCCACCCCAACACCACATCCCCATCTCTGCTCCCACCTCCAGCCATTCCTTGTCCCCATTGTCACCCCTCCCTGTCCCCATCCCTGTCCCCATTGTCACAACTTCCTGTCCCCATCACCAACTTGTCCCTGACTCTGTCCTGGTCCCAGTCCCAGTCCCCATCCCAGTCCCTGTCCTCAGCTCTGTCTCTGTCCCAGTCCCTGCACATTCCCTGTCTCTGTTGTTCCCCCATCCCCGTCCCCATCCTTGTCCCTGTCCCCATCCCAGTCCCTGTCCCATTCCCTGTCCCCATTGTCACCCCCTCCCTGTCCCTGTCCCCAGCATCGCTGCCGTGTCCTGGTGCTCAGTGACATCACCGGCACAGGGGCCGCTGCTGTCCCGTCCCCTCGCCCAGTTCCTCCCGTGCCCCCGTGCCCCCCGTGCCCCCGTGCCCCCGTGCCCCGCTCACCATGGGCCCGGGCACGGCCATGCCTCCGGCCTTCTCGTCGTAGCCGTAGGACATCTGGGGAGCGAAGTTCTGCGGGAGGAGAGCGGGGGGTGAGCGGGGCAGGGACCCCCGGGGGGCTGCGCCGCCGGGGACCCCCCACACTCACCCCGCCGAGGCCGGGGGGACCGGGGGGGCCGGGGGGGCCGGGCAGGCCGGGCTGGCCGGGGATTCCATCTCTGCCGGGGGGGCCGGGCAGTCCCTGCGGAGAGAAGAGGGGGTGAGGCTGGGGGGACTGGGGGGAGCTCCAGAGGAACTGGGGGGAGCCCCTGTGGGACTGGGGGGAGCCCCTGTGGGACTGGGGGGAGCTCCAGAGGAACTGGGGTGAGCCCCTGTGGGATTAGGGTGAGCCCCAGTGGGATTGGGGTATCCCCCAGTGGGATTGGGGTGAGCTCCAGAGGAATTGGGGTGAGCCCGGTGGGATTGGGGTATCCCCCAGTGGGATGGGGGTGAGCCCAGTGGGAGATTGGGGTGAGCCCCTGTGGTATTGGGTTATCCCACTGTAGGATTGGGGTGTCCATAAGTGGAATTGGGGTGTCCCCCTCTGGCATTGAGTTATCCCACTGTAGGATTGGGGTGTCCATAAGTGGAATTGGGGTGTCCCCCTGTGGGATTGGGGTGACCCCAGTGGGATTGGGGTGAGCCCAGCTGGGGATTGGGTTGAGGCCCAGCAGGACTGGGATGAACCCCAGTAGGAGATTGGGGTGAGCCCAGCAGGACTGGGGTGTCCCCAGTGGGATTGGGGTGTTCCCCTGTGGGATTGGGGTGTCCCCAGTGGGATTGGGGTGAGCCCAGAGGGATTGGGGTGTTCCCCTGTAGGATTGGGGTGTCCCCAGTGGGATTGGGGTGACTCCAGTGGGATTGGGGTGAGCCCAGAGGGATTGGGGTGTTCCCCTGTAGGATTGGGGTGTCCCCCAGCAGAACTGGGGTGCTCCCCAGCGGGATGGGGGTCTCTGCAGAGCAGGGGGCTCTGGGGGGGCGCACCCACCCTGTCTCCTTTGGGGCCGGTGTCTCCTTTAGGACCCTGCGGGGCAGAGGCAGAAGAGGTTAGAGAAGGGGGGCTGCAAACACTGGGGGGGGGTCTGGAGAAACTGGCGGCGTTTTGGGGGGGCCCTTACCTCTACTCCAGCATTTTCTGGGTAGGCAGGGGAGGCTGTGGGGGGAAAAAGGGGGTTCAGAGCGGCGCGGCGTCACCCGCCCCACCCCGGGCAGCCCGCGGGAGGGGACACCGGAGGGGACACCGGGAGGGGACACCGGGAAGGGACACCGGGAGGGGACACCGGGAGGGGACAC